ATAAATATTAAAAATAAATAAAATAAAATAAAAATTATATAATATTAATATTTATTCTAACCTCTTTCATTTCAAAAGCTCTATTAAGCATATCATGAGTTGAATTCCATCTTGTCTTAACATCTAAAATAAGATTAAGATTTTTAAGACCAGCTGCTTCAGCATGACGTGCAAAACGATCTCGTCGTTGTGGTGAAGATCGTATTTTAACTATAAGTTTACGAAGCTAATTAATTAAAAATAATAATTAATATAATAATAAAATTAAATTAAATAATAATTTATAAAAAAAATAAATATACCTTTGGAATTATTTCTCCAGTATTTAAATTTATATCTATATTACTTAATATATCATCTTCAATTTCTATTTCTCCTACTTTAATTTTATTTAAAATTTCTTGTACAGATATGTTCATAATATGAGCAATGCAACGACAATGAGCATTAATAGCATTAAAAGAAATATTATTATCTTGACATATGGTTTCCAATTCCTTCATAAATGTATCATTATTTCCAGCATTATCACTTGTGATTGTAAAAATCTAAAAAGAAAATCTGTTTATTAATATATAATTAAAAAAATAATTAATTATAAAATAAAAAAAAGTTTTTTTAAATTATTTACCTTTGATAAAATTCCAAATTCATTACAACTTTGTACAAAAGCATCACAAAGATTTTCACCAGAATGGGGACCACAAAGATTTATAAAGTCAAGTAAATTATCTTGAAGTTCCCAATCTTTTGTAATCCAATGTATTGTAATTGCTAAAAAAGAATAACCATTTGTAGATGTCCATGCATCTAAAGCAAATGAAATTTTCCCAGGTATATTCTGTCAAAATATAATGTAATATAAATATTTTTTGAAAGAATATTTTTATATATTTTATATAATATTTAAAACTCACTTGAAAAGATTTCTTCATTTTTATTTGCTCCTTTTCAAAAATTTCTATTATATTTTTTTTTAATGTATCTGCTGAAGGAATTAATGCATTTGGATTTAAAAATTTTATCATTTGTTGAAAATACTTGTTTTCAAGTGTTGTGAATGGTTGATCATCAGTAATTATCCATTTGGTAATAAATTTACGAAAGTCTTCTTGAGTAAACTTAATGAATATCAAATATAAATTAATAAAGATAAATATAAAAAAAAATAGTTTATAATACAATACATACATCAGTCGACGTTCCCTCTGCATTCAAAAATTTATCTAATGTGCTTTGTCCTTCATTTATTAAGTGCTTTATTTTTTTTGGATTTTTATCAGGGTGATGACGTTCTAAGTGACGCCAAAGATTTGTTGTATTTGAATCACCAATTTTGCGAAGCCATGTTTTATGACTTCTAAAATATTTTTAAATAAAAAAGATATAAAAAAACCTACATAATATACTGTTTTCTTTTTAAAAAAATGTAAAAGAATACATACGAGCAATTAAGACAACGAACTTCGCGATGTGTACTTGAAAACTTATGTTCCGGCGGAAGAACTTTCTCTTCAAAAAGTTCTTTGGCAAAAAGTTCACTCCGTAATCGTTTTTTAGAACTTTCGGTAACGTCTATATTGGTAATGTCTATAGTTTCACTCATTATATATTATTTGTTTACAAATTCAAGTCGCGTAACGTAAATTAGTCTAGCGCGTAATTTATATTACGAAAATTTAGATCTGGGTCACCCGGGTCACCCAGGTCAAGGAAAAACGTGATCCTGACCTGACGGGTTTTATCGAATTAGGACTCGTGTCATAAAAATGATAAACCTGACTTGAGAAAAAATTCGAGTTGGGTCGATCAACCCGGGTCGACTCGACTGGCTTGGAGCACTAGATGTATATACTCTTTCTTTGCTCTTATCTTTAGTTGAGATAGATTCTAAATCAATATTTTCAAAATATTATATAATTTCTTCTTCAATGTATATTCTATCTTCAATTTCAAATTAGATTTAAGTATAGATTCAATAATATTTGCTCTTAGAATATTATCATGCCATTCATATTCACTATAAGAAATAGCAAAGGATATTGTAATAAATTATAAGTACCTTTAATTCAGAGATATATTTTAATTGTCTTTTATAAGTTTGAATAATAATGTCTCAATATTCAGGTTGAATGTTATAGTCACAGAGAAGAACTACAACTTCTGATGCTACTATTAGTTTGTTATATTGTCTCATATCCTTATCATGTGTATTATAAATAACTATTCTCTATTATAAATTATTAGATTCACTTTTAGCTTTAGCTCCTGCGGTTATAAATTGCTCAACAAATGGATTGTTTTCTAATAGTTCATCTTATAACACTTTGAGCATTTCAGCATTCAAATTTGAAAATATTTCTTGTCTTCTTTGAAGTTGATTATCTATATATATTTGAATCATAAAAGTAAATCTGAGCAAATGTTAGTTTTTGATCATCATCTCTTGACATTAGACCTCTAATCTGATGATATAATTCACCTTAAATTCTAAATGTATAAATCCTCTTTTTGGCATTTGCAAGTTCTTTATCAAGTTTACACCTAAAGATGATAATGCAAGAACTTGATTGTAAGCTCTTATTTGAATTATTAAGGTTTATTTGATTCTTAATTATTTTGTGTGAGTAAATTTTACAAAATTTGTGGAGCTGAAAGGTGAGGTGCTAATATAACCTGTCTATTTAAATAACAGAATCCTTTTGTCTTATTCTTTTACTTTAATGCATAACAGTATTTACAAATATTATCCATTTCTTCAAAGATGTATCTACTGTTTTCTATATCTTCTATATAATTATCTATATTGCAATGCCTTATCTTTAAGAATTTGGCTACTAATCTTTTTTTTTGTAATATATTTCTTATTATTATAAATCTTTTTTCATTTTTTTTTTGTTCAACTATTTTTTAATCTTGCATTTTCAGTTGTTTCAGATCTTATTTTGCTTGATGATTCAGCTTTTACACTTTCTTCTTTTGTTTGTTAATCAAGAAATCTTTTCCTAGCTTGTCTAATATTGTTTTGCCTTTTTATTCATTCTTTTCAGTTGCATTTTCACGTTCTGAATATTTAGCTTTAATTTCTTCTAATGTTATAAACTTTGACATCTTATTTGTAAATAAATTTATAAATTTTAATAAATAAAGTTTTGGTAAAGATCAAATTTTTAAAAATTAAAATGATTTTATTTATTTATTTTTTTGAATAATTACTAAAAAAAAAAAGAATTCAAATATGATTTGTTATTGCATACATGCATGTATGCATATAGGATTTTTTAGTAATATGATGAATGCTGCATGTAATTAAACACTGTATACACATGCATAATATTGTTTTTATTTTGTTTTAAAATTAGGCTTATTTTTTATTTAATTTTACTAATAGAATTTGATTTAGTTTATTGTACTTTTTTCTTAATATTTAGTTATGATATATCCTTTATTAAGTTATAAATTAAATGATATTTGGTATTTTTAGTATTATTGCATTTATAAAATGTTTAATTGTTTGTTTGTAATGGTCTATTTCCGATCTTTTTATTTTTTTTATTATTATAATATTTTTTACCCACCCCGATTTTTTTTTAATTTCTTTTTTTATATTTCGCGAATTTTTTAATTTTTTAATTTTATTTTTTTTATTATATTTTATTTCCTTCTTCCCCCTCCCCGACTTTTTAATTTCTTTTTTTATTTTTCTTTTAAATTTTTAGTTTTATATAATTATTAGTTTTCCTCCTCCCGTTATTATTTTTTTACTTTCTATTTTTTTTTTGTTTTTCTATTTCGTTTTTATATATTAAATATTTTTTTTATTTTTATTTGTCTATATTTTTTTTTGTTTTTCTATTTAGTTTTATATATATACTAGCAATTCTACCTGGGAAATGCTCTGGGATCACTTCGCAATGAAAAAGGGTGAAGTTTTAACAAATTTTAAAATAAGTTAGGTTTCGTTTGGTTAGGTTGGAATGAAAATTGAGTTGATTCGGGTTGAAATTGGAATTGATTTGGGATATAATTAGATTAAGATGCAGAGATATGATTAGATTGGATTGGTATGGGTTGTAGTTAAATTGTATTTATTAATTTAGGATTGGATTAGGGTAAATTGTGTTAAATTCAGATTATATTCATATTATGTTAGAAAATAGTTTGTGTAATAATCTTATTATGATTTGGTTATAATTAAATTAGAAGCATTTTAAGACTCTATAGTTAACTTCATATTTTTACATAACAGTAGGCAATTTTTACATCTCTAATAGAAAAACAAACCTTGGCATCACAAGAAAATTAATTCAATATTTGCTCATGAATACTTTCTCCAAAATAAGATCTTATCAATTTTCAAAGCTATTTCAGCTTCCAGTGACCAATTTGATAAATATTTGATTTTTTTGAAGGTCACTTAGGGTTAAATCTGGTTGTCTTAAAATGGTATTTATATGATCTTTAGATCATATGATTGCTTCATTTCAAAAATTTCAAAGAATTTGTAATTTAAATAATTTAAATAATTGATTTTGAACACTCATGGGTTTCTCTATTTTCTTACATATTAACATACAATTTTCTCACCTCCTTTAGATTCCCAGATGGTGAAATTAGTATTAAGTATTATTTCTTTTCAAATAGCTCCTTTTGCTTCAGTTTCTGTATTCATACTTGCTTGAATTTCTTTCGTGATGAACTTCAAAATAATTGCTTTTAGTTATTCTCAAATATCTCCGGATCGTGTGATTGGGTCGGGACATTTGAGCTTATTTGAAAACTAAGAACATACCGAAGCTACTTGTTAATTTTTTATAAAGCGGAATTGTTGATGTCGAGATATTCGCGTTCAAAGTTCGTCACGGCAAATCGTTTTTTAGTTTTTTTACCAACTCTCAAAGCTATTTCATTTTCTTACATATTAACATACAGTTTTCTAATATACTTTAGGTTCCCAAATGGTAAATTTAGTGTTTGGCATCAGTACTTTTCTGACTGATCCTTTTGCTTCAGTTCTGGTATTCACATCTGCTTGAGATTCTTCCGTGATGAAGCTCAAAATAATTGCTTTCAGTATTTCTCAAATAACTCTGGATGGGATGATTGGATTTGGATATTTTTGAGCTTGTTTGAAAGATCAGTACCTACCAAATATGCATGTCAAATTTGACATTTCTTCTCCAGTGGGTGGCGAGTTATTCGCGTTCAAATTTCGTCACGGCATATCGAAACTTTGAAATTAAAAAAAAATCATTTTTTTAATAATTTCTATTTTTTTTTTAATTCCAACCCGGTTTTATTATATTTTAGTTTTTTAATATCGTTTTTTTTTTTATTTTATTTATATATTTTTTTGTCCCTTCAGTCTTTTTTTTATTTTTCCCTTTATCTTTTTTCTTTTTTTTTTTTTAATATTTTTTATATTTATTTTTTCCTTATTATAATTTTCTTTAGTTCCCCCAGCCTTTTTCTTCTTTTTTTTTTTAATATATTTTATTTTTATATCCCTCCGGCATTTCATTTTTTATTTTTTTTTTATTTTTTATTTTATTATTTTTCCCAGCATTTATTATTTTTTTTTTATTATTATTAATATCCCCGGCCTTTCTTTAATTTTTAATTTTTTTTTCATTTTTTTTAAAATTCATCTTGGTATTTTTTATAATTCTTTTTTAAATTCTATCCTTTTTTTTAATTTCCTTCCCTTGGCATTTTTTATTTTTTTAATTTTTTTATATAATTTCTTTTTTAATTTTTATCCCCGTTATTTTTTTATATTGAATTTTTTATTTTTTTTTATATCCCTCCGGTATTTTTATATTTTTTATATTTATTTTTTTTTAATTTTATTTTTTTTCTTTTCGCTTTTTGTTATTTTTCTTAAATTATATATACGTTTAGTTTTTCATTTTTTTTTTCATTTTTCATTTAGTTTTGCATTTTTCTTTTTTTCTTTCATTTTTTAGTTCATTTTTATTTGTTTTTTAGTTTTCGTTTATAGATTTCGTTGTAGTTTTCATTTTCTTTTTTCAATTTTACTTATTTCTTTTTTTCTTTATCGTTATTCGTTATCGTTTCGTTTTTTTAAAAAATAAAATAAAAAATGAATGAAAGAAAAAAATAAAAAAAAATAATTAAATTATTATTTAGCCAGAACTCGGCGATATGCTTGTTTTTTATATCTTCGCGATTTTTGTTTATTGTATTTTCTACTTTTGGTGATATTATTTATATTTTTATTCGTTCTTCTAATTTTTTTATTAATTTTCTTTATTTTTTTAGATTTATATTTTTATATTTTATTTTTTTTTATTCGTCTTCCTTTCCCCATTTAATTTTTTTTATTAATTTCTATTTACTTTATTAATTTTTTTTATTTTTGATAGTTTCTATATATATATACAATTTTTTTATTAATTTTTAATTTCAATTTTATTTATTCTTATTAATTTAATAATTTGACTTTTTTAACCTTTTTTTCTTAATTATAAATAATAACAATTGCGATTTTAATATACCAGAGACTTATTGTTTCTGAAAACTGAGGCATCATCCTAGCTGAATTGCTAGTAAAAATAAACAATATAAACAATAATAAAAAGAAAATTTCGTCACGCATCTGACTGCATCACCGTGATGAACTGAAGGGTGTCACATCCGAAAGGGCGGAATCGGTCCTAACCATAATTGAAAAAAAGCCATAGATTTGATTAATAATCAAAAAAAATTAGTAAAATAATAAAAAAAGTTACCACTTTATTGCGTCGCTGTGACAAACCAAAGTGGCGAATCTACTGATCTATCCTACTAGGAAACGGGAACCGTTGTGAGTCCGGAGCGAAATTTTATTCATTAATTTACATAATGTGTAACCTCAAATTTTTCTTTTTATTTCTTAAAAGTATAATGTTTTTCACTTTACTTCAGATAATAAAGAATCACGCGATATGATTTATCTGATCATAAAGTATTTTATATCTACAAGGTTTGAAGGGAATTTAAACGAAATAGAACGAAATAGATTTTTGGATGCTGTATTTCTTCTTACCACCTGGGATGATGTAGACAAAGTCAATATCAATATGCTCAGATCTTTAAATCTTCCAGTAGCTAAAATTCTCGCGGTTCATACTGGAGGTCGTGAGGCTAAAAAAGCCAGTTCAGATGTTGCAAAGGGCCTTGAAGCACAGTTGGTACTTGCTAAAGGGGCACGGGTTATGTTAATAGCAAACCTATGGACTGAAGGTGGGTTAGTAAACGGGTCAATGGGAAATATACACGATCTTATATTTGTAGAAAATGGACCTCCTTCACTTCCGGTAGCTGTTTTAATAAGATTTGATCAATACGAAGGTCCTAGTTTTATGACAGCAGAAGGGGATAGAGTAGTACCAATCAGTCCTATTAAACGCACCTGGGAAAGCAAAACTGGGACAGTGTGTTCTCGCATACAAATTCCTATATGCCTCGCGTGGGCAATAACCGTTCACAAAAGTCAAGGCCTTACGTTACCAAAGGCCAAAATTGATATTGGAAGCAGAGAATTTGCAGACGGCCTTTCTTTGTTGCAGTGTCAAGAGTTCGTTCGCTCGGTAACCTTATTTTCAAGCAATTTACTTTCGACTGACTTCAACAGATCCAAAAAAGTAAAAGATTACAAGAAAGGAAAAATGAAGAAGAGCGACTAATTTCTTTGATACCAAGAGTCTAAAATAGAGAACGCTTTCTTTATATATATATATATATTTTTTTAATGGTAGAAGCATAGCAGCATATATCCAATATTTACAAATTTATTTATCACTAGTTCAATTTTAGTGATACATTTTTTTTAGTGGTACATTAATAAAAACGTGATTTGTACATGGGTAATTTATACTAGTTCAATTTTAGTGACATTTTTTTTTAGTGGTACATTAATAAAATCGTGATTTGTACATGGGTAGTTTATTTACTATTTCGTAATTGTGCATCTACAGGAACCAATAATATAATCGACTCAAAAATTAAGCGGGGGGAACGCGGACATTTTGAGTTAACCGGCCTAGAATTATAAAGTCCTACGCTTACGCTCCGGACTAATAAAATAATAAACTAAAAAAATAATAATTAATCAATAATTATGAACTGAAACAATAAATAATATTAGAAAAAAAAACAAACGATATATTTTTATATTTTTTTCGTTCTTTTACCTTTTTGTTCATTTTTATTATCTTTTAGATTTTTATATTTTTTATTTCTTTTTCGTTAATTTCTTTTAGTTTTTCTTTTATTTTTTATCTTCCCCCCTATATATTATTTTAATCTTTTTTAATTTTTTTTGCATTTTTAATTCCCCCTCGTGGTATTTTTTTTCTTTTTAATTTTATTTTCATTTTCGTTCTTTTTTTAATTTTTTATTTTTTTTATTTTATTTATTTTGTTTTATTTAGTTTCTTTTTAGTTTTCACTTTTTTTATTTTTATTTTAGATTTTGTTTTCGTTTGTATTTATCTTTTTACTTCTTTTTTATTGTTTCGTTGGTTTTTTTTCTTAATTTTCTTTTTAGATTTTACTTTCGCTTTTTTCTTTTTGTTTCATTTCTTTTAATATAGTTTATTTTTACTTTTCTTTTCGTTTTTCGTTCGTTTAGTTGTTTTTTTCTTTTTTTGTTTGTTATTTTTCTTTTATTATTTCTTTTTCCTTTCATTTCGTTTTTCTTTCGTTTTTATTACTATTTCTTTTTTTACTTTTTCGTCTTAGTTTCGCTTTTTTTCAAAAAATGAAATAAAAAGAAAGAACAAAAATGAAAGTAAGAAAAATAAAAGTAAAATAATTAAAATAAAAATTTCGCCAGATCTCGGCGAGATGTTTGTTTTTATATCGCGTCGCGATTTTTGTTTATTGTTTTTTCTAAATTGAGCGATCAGCAGATGCAAAACCCGTCCGAGAAGGTGGAAATACATTTTTATAGTGATTTACATTCGCGTAATATATATATAGGGACTAGCAATTCTACTCAGATGATGCACTGGGATCGCTTCGTGATAAAAAAGGGTAAAGTTTTAATAAATTCTAAAATAAGTTAGGTTTGGTTAGGTTGGATTAGAGTTGAAATTGAGTTGTTTTGGATTAAAATCAGATTAGAAGATTAATTTCAGAAATAAGATTGAATTGAATTGGATTAGATTGTGATTAAATTGATGTTAATTGAAGTTTAGATTGGAATAAGGTGAATTGTATTAAATTCAGGTTATATTTAGATTATGTTAGGATAAAGTTTGGTTATAATCTGATTATGATTTGGTTATAGATGAATTTGTATTTTAAGACTCTATAAGTAACTTTATATTTTTACATAATTTCTTATAGGTAAATAGACTTTAGCATCACCAGAAAATTAATTCATATTTTGCTAATAAATGCTTTCTCTAAGATTGAATTTAGATCAGCTCAAGATCTTACCAACTTTTAAAGCTATTTTGCTTCATTTTAAGGATTTCAAGAATTTGCAGTTTTAATAATTGATTTTGAACACTCATGGGTAACCCTATTTTTTTACATATTAACATACAATTTTCTCACCACCTTTAGATTCCCAAATTCTGAAATTAGTATTCAGTATTATTACTTTTTAGATAGCTCCTTTTTCTTCAGTTCTGGTATTCAAACTTGCTTGAATTTCTTCCGTAATGAACCTCAAAATAATAGCTTTCAGTTATTCTCAAAGTCCTCTGGATCGTGTGATTATATTTGAACATATGGATCGATACTAACTCTTATATACAACTATCATGCCAGAAATCAAAGCAAATAATTATAACATATAAACTTCTTACATTCCAAAAAATAATAAAAGTCCTCAACAAAAAAACAGTAACAGACAGTTTATAAGCTTTCTTGTAGAGACGAACGAACAAACTTTATTAGAAACTCCTTTAAATAATAACAAAAAACAAAAAATAACTACAGAAACTATGGAAACTTCTTCAAAAATTATCAACAAAGTTATTGAATACATTATCTTTACCACTGACAATAACAACCAAACACTTCCTAACATTACTGATAAAGGTATCACACTAACATTTGACATGGAAATAGATAATGCTGTTTTCTCAACTTCAAACACTATAGAAACAGTTCTACCTACTCCTTTCCAAACTGCAAAAGACTTTATGAATGCCAAATAAATAAACAATACTGACAAATCAAAATCAATGAATATTTCTTTTATCTCTAAAGATAAAACAGACAAACTTGATCAGATAAAATGGACAAAGCCAAAGCTTCTACTTCCATTAACAAGAATGCGAATGATTGATAATTTAACATAATACTACATCTACTCAATTTTATGCCATTAACAATGGGCAGATATAAAAGAAAATCAATAGCTGAAAAATGCAATTTTATCAACGCACTTTTCATCCACTTTACTTTAAATTTGGTTTTGTTAGTTAGAGTTGAAATTGGAGTTGCTTTGGTCAAAATCAGATTAGAATAATTAGATTCAGAGATATGATTAAATTGGATTGGATTGGATTGGATTAGATTGGATTGGGTTGGATTGTAATTAAATTGGGTATATATTAAAGCTAGAATTAGATTAAATAATTAATTACAGTTTGTTAGAATAAAGTTTGAATTATAATTTAGCTATGATTTGATTATAATTTGATTAAAATAAAAATTTTAAAAATTTTGTATTTTACGAGTTTATAGGTGACTTCATATTTTAACATAAAAATAGACAATTTTTCATCTTCTATGGGTAATCAAACTTTGGAATCACCAGAAAATTAATCAAAAATTGCTCATAAATACTTTTTCCAAAATTGACTTTAAATCTGCTCAAGATCTTACCAACTTTCAAAGCTATTTCAGCTTCCAGTGATCCAATTTGATTAATATTTGATTGTTTTGAAGCTCACATAGGGCTGTATCTGGTTGACTTGAATTGGTATTTCTATGACCTTTAGATCAAATAATTGCTTCATTTCAAGGATTTTAAGAGCTTGCAGTTTAAATAATTGATTTTGAACACTTATAAGTAACTCTATTTTCTTACATATTAATATACAATTTAATTACCTCCATTAGATTTCCAAATGCTAAATTTAGTATTCAGTACTATTACTTTTCGAATTGTTCCTTTTGCTTCAGTTCCGGTAGTTACACTTGCTTGAGATTCTTCTGTGATAAATCTCAAAATAATTGCTTTCAGTTATTTTAAATATCTCAGGATTGAGTGATTATATCGGGATGGTTTTGGTTTTTTTCGAAAGATAGAACCTACGGAATCTATATATCAAATATGATAGGAACAAGACTAGTAAATGTTGAGATATTTACATTCAAAATTCATCACGACAAAATCATTTTTTTGTTTTTTACTAACTCTCAAAGCTATTTCATTTTCTTATATATTAATATGCAGTTTTCTCACTTCCTTTAGGTTCCCAGATAGTTATTTTAGTGTTCTGCATTATTACTTTTTGGACAGTTCCTTTTTCTTCAGTTCTGGTATTCAAACCTGCTTGAGATTCTTCTATGATGATTCTCAAAATAATTGCTTTCAGTTATTCTCAAATATCTCTTGATTGAATGATTGGATTTGGACAGTGTTTGTCTATTTGTAAGATAAGAACCTACTAAATCTGCATATCAAATTTGATAGGTTTATATCTGGTAGATGTCGAGTTATTCTCGTTCAACGTTCATTACAGCAAATAGTAACTTTATATTATTTTTTCTTTTTTTTTATTCCCCTCAGATTTGTTTATTTTTTTTATCTAAATAATTATTTTTTTATTTTCAAAGATATTTTACAGCTCAATCTACAAATACTCAAACAACCACTTCTTTATCTAATATACCATCAGTTTTAACTCGTTTTAATACATCTGACCCATTAGACAGAGAAGATTTCAACCTCGATTTATTATTTTAGATTCAAGTTAACATATCCAATTAACAGGATATCTAAAATCTTACTGCAGCAGTTCAAAGATAACTGGATTATTCGCTTCACAAAGACAACTAGCAGCAAACAACAGAGTTTTCAATTAATCAATAACTTGCAAGCCAATACTTAAGCAATAAATGGTAATCCTTAACGAAAAGAGACCTGTGTTATTGACTTACCCTACTTTTATAAAGGCAACCAAGATCCTATCAGATGGTTTGAGGAGTTTACATATTCATGCAATGCAAATGGTATTAATGATAATAGGAAAATTAAAGTTGTTCCAGTATACTTAAAAAACTCAGCTTCTACTTGGTAGACTGCCAACCAAGCGTTGAATAATGGAAATGTCAACCGTATTATTGCATGGACAGGAAACAATAATAATACTAACTTTATTCAAAACTTTTCTGCTGCTTTCAGGTCCAAACATTGATGGAAATCTAAACAACTGAATTGGAAAGGCGTCGACAACAACCTGGTGAATCTATAGATGACTATGCATATGCTTTATTAGAATTATATCAAAAAGTAGAAATACAAGCTTTCTAATATCCTAATGCAATAAAAGCTAGATGACTTATTAGTGGATTATTACCTAAATTACATTTGTTAGTAAAACCTTTTAATAATCAAACTTGGAATGATGCACTCAATCAAGCTAAACAATATGAACTTATATACAAAGTTTCTAATATAGTAGAAGCATATATGAATAAATATGCTAACCCATCTGAAAACGCAGGACAACTTAATGCTTTGAATGCAGCCATTGCCAACTTGTCTCAACAAATACAACAAATGAATATTGAAGGAAGAAAATACAATTCTGGATATCGTCAAAATAATTATCAGTAACAGAATAATCAGTAAAATAATAATCAACAAAATTGACCTCCACGAAATAATCAATTGGGACCCATTGTATGCTTTGACTACGTACAGCCTAGACATATTAGACGAAGTTGTCTGACAAGAATAGTAAATAATTTAAACAATCCAAATAATAACGTAGCTATTAATAATCCATCAGTGCAAAATAATGTGAATCCAGTAAATACAGCTATAGTTAACTTAGCTAATAACATTCCTGCAAATAATAATATGATGAATGTTCACCAAGCCATGCAATTACTGACTCAGCTATTGGAACAGGAAAACAACAACAATCAAAATCAGCATTTAAACTAAATAGTGTACCTCTCGAGGGTGAAGGTACGAAACTATTTAAAAGTCTCTCAAATCTTTCTATCTTTGAAATATATGCCAATAAAAGAAGTCAAGCTGATAATGATGAGGAAGATTTAATTAGAGAAATAGAATAAAAACAAAAAGATTTAGCAAAGAAAAAAGCTCAACAAAAACCAAAAGTAAAGAAGAAACCTTCAGCGCAACCTCTCATTGTTAACATGATAAATCCTTATACTGCACAAGACCTTTTTGATCAACCTGCTAACATTTCTATTAGACAATTACTTGCCGCTAATTCTAAGTTTACCTAAAGTATAATGAAATTATTAAGGAAGCCAATTACTTGTAAATCTAATAAAGGGAAAGGGCCAGCTACTTAGAAAAATAATAATCAAGAGGAAAACATAATTGCAGGACCTTCAGAAGCTAAACTAATGGATATGAAAGCTGAAGAAATAATTGAAGAAATGACGAACTTCTTGCTTCTCAGGAAATGCATAATGTTACAAACTGAAAGTCAACTGCTTTATACTGTCAAGCAATAATTAATAATAGGGAGTTTACTCTGATAGTTGATTCTGGTTTCTCAGAATGTATTGTTTCCTTACAATTCTTAAAAAGATTGGGAAGAGAAGTTGACAAACCATCTGGAATGATTATGGTAAATGTTAATGGTGAACGTCAAAAGCCAGTTGGCATGATACTTGACCTACCTCTACGAATAATGGGACATATTATTCCCTTTGATACTATTGTTACCAAATCAAATACTTATGATGCAATAGTTGGAAATGACCGGCTGGAAAAAACCCATGCTGAAATAAGTTATGGAAATAAACTTATGACGATTTACTAAAAAAGAAAAGAAATACATATTCCAGTTGAACATAAAACTCTGTCACGTAAAAACATTGAGGAAACAAGAGAAGACAATGAGGAATCTGAAGAGAATGAAACTGATAATGAATATGAAACAGAAGAAGAGAAATAGGATGAATTATTTTGTTACTCTGAAGAGATCCCAGAAGAAGAAGCAAATTTAATTTATTCTGAACTAAAAGGAAACGTAAAGGAAAATGTAATTCTGAAAGAATCATACTACCAATATAAGAAGCTTAACGAAGAAAGCTATCACATTAGTGAACTCACAAGTGAGTAACAGAAAAAATTCAAAGACTTTATGAAACAACACAAAGATCTTTTCATTTGGAAGGGAAATCAATTTAGAAAAACCTTCATGATAAAACATAATATTGATCAGGTGATGCTACTTCAATTAAGCAAAGGTTTTTACAGGACCTCATTCTAAAATCAAGAGTTTATTAAATAAGAGATTCAAAGGTTATTAGGCTCAGGATTGATTTAACTATCAAAAAGTTAATAGATATCTTCAGTAGTTGTTGTGGAAAAAGAAAAATGGTAAAAAACGTTTATGCGTAGATTACATGAAACTGAATAGTATAACAAAAAAGGATAACTATCCCCTTCTAAGGATCGATGACATGTTAGATACATTAACAGGATCTTAGTAGTTCACATCCTTGGACTTGTTAAGTGGATTCTGACAAGTAGAGATGGAAGAAAAGAATCAGAAAAAAACAACCTTTATCACAAGGTTTGGAACCTTTGAGTTCACAGTCATGCCTTTTGGCTTATGTAATACTCCTGCAACTTTTCAAAGATTAATGGATACAGTTTTAAGAGGCAAAATGTAGTAGTATATGTAGATGATATTAACATTAGATCTAAAATATTTGATGAACATCTTCTTTATCTGGAACAAGTTTTTCTACGTCTGTAATAATCTGGATTAAAACTAAGTCCAGAAAAATGCTTTTTCTTTAAGAAAAAACTCCCTATTCTAGGATATGTAATTAGACGTGAAGGCATACAAACTGATCCAGAAAAAATTTGCTGCAATTTAAAGATTTCCAATCTCAAAAGACTTGACTCAATTGAGAGGATTTATTATACTTGCCTCATATTATAGAAAATTTATAAAAAGATTCTTTATTATTATTGAACCTCTGAATAGACTTCTCAAAAAGAATGTTTCTTATCATTGGACGACTGATCAACAAAAGGCATTTGAAAACTTTAAGGATTGTTTAACTTCCCTCCAATTTTAGCATACCTTGATCTTGACAAACTATATATTTTATATACCGATGCTTCT